AGCGTCCGCTAGGAAAACATGAAAGAGGTAAAATACCCAGTTAAAAATGGCGATTCAAATTCGTACTCATATATATGTTTTCATGCTAGGCACAGCGATGAATTGAACAGGGAAGAGAATGTTATTGGGCTGGAGAAAGAGGTCGACAAGAGAACGAATGAAACTTTTGTGTTCAGTGCACGTGTAGATATCTTTCATATTTCTTCCAACCATAAAAATATTTTTCTGCTTCAAATGGCGGTTGAATTGAAGACGGTTGGAAGACCAGAAAATTCTAGGATCTCTGAAAACTAACCATGACCATAGGGCGCGCGTGATGCCTTGCTCGGAGGTCCCCTGAAACACACGTGGAGTCGAGCCCATGGCCCACCAAGCCTTCCCTCTCTCCGGGGTCGAAAGATTGGTAGCAGACTTGTTTGAGTTGTTAGCAGCACTGGCTCGATACATCGGTACGCTAACGCGGGTTATTGTAAAGGCCAGCTATACATTCATTCACCCCCAAACGAAGTTTAACGAAATCGAGTACATGGCACATACCTTTGGGATTGATCAACGCCGAGAGCTTTTTCTTTATCTTTCTAATCATTACCACTTAGCGACTAAAAACTACCTTCACTTTCAGTGGGAGAAAAATAAGAAAATTTTTGCAGAAGTAGGAGGAGGTGTAATAAATTCACGTCCGTTCAAGCTGTAGTAATAAAAATTAGCAAAAACAGAAAGTCTCTGGAGATCTGAATAAGCGAATGATCTGGGGAGCCCAAATCGGCGGTGGGGAACGAGATCAATCCCGTTGACGGGTGATTGGTGATGACAAAAAATCAATAGAACTAGCTGAGAGACAGACAAAACGAAGGACCCGCATGGTGTGGTGGTGAACGCGTTACTTCCTGGAAAGGACAATAGCGCGTTCGTTGCCCACCATATACACCTGCGGTCCGGAGTTTTGCAAATATCTCAGGATTATATACAAATAAGATTCATTGCAATTAGAACAGCTAACACCATTAAAAAGTGCTACATTATAATATACAGGTGATCATGCATACGATCACACATATTTTTTAAAAGTGATAGATTTCAAGTTCATATTATTAAGAATAATATAAGAAGCGGCTACAGAACAGTGATCCGAGGCGCCCTGCAATATGTGTGGGATCGATCGCCGCGTCCCAGGCTCACCAAGCCGTCCATACCACCGGGGTCGGCAAATTGGTAGCAGACTTGTCTGAAAATATAACAGCTCTGGCTCGATACATGGGTAGACCACGGTGAGTCATTGTAAAGGCCAGATATGCATTCAATCACCTCTAAACGTTGCTTAGTGAAGTCGAATGCATGGCTCATCCTTCAGTAATTGATCACCGCTGAGAGTTTTATCCTTTATCTCTTATTACTATTAAAGGTGCCTTACAAGAAAAAATAATCAAAGTTCGTAGATGTTTACATAGTTTTGAAGAATTTCTTCGTCGAAAATTTCGCGAGCCGGCACATATGCCGAAGTATTGCTCCATTTCACAAGTTTCCAGTCATGCAAAGATACTGTGTTAAAAAAGAGCATCTAAATTAAGACAAGATTCACCTTGCCTTCCAACTTCGAACGTCGGCTTGAGTCGTAAGAAAGGCACTGGGCTTATTACGATATCGCCTTCGCTGCATGCACACACGAATCATCTTTTGAATGATGCAAGCCGCATACCGTTGGATTCCTTCAGATTTCGTCTACAGTTGATCGACAAGTCAATCACGCGGAAGCACATATTTGATACCCTGAAAGGTTGTAAAATATCTCCACAAATAATGTGCAAAAGTGGAAACAAAAACAGTCATTAAGCGTCACTTTTAAATTCGAATGTCATTCGACAACATGTCGCAATCACCTGTATCACCGTATCACCTGTAGTCCCGTTGATCGTCGAGTGAATCGAGCGGGCGCCAGTAAATCTTCCACTTTTCCCTGTCGCGTGCAAGAGTAGCCCAGTGGGTTCTGCTCGCTCTAGGAACTCGTCGAGCATCATATCATTCCTCAAAGCCCTTTGTGAAGAACCCTGACCATCGAGTCGGTGGTCTACCTGCAGTGTGTTTGACATCCCGAGCAATCCTGTCACTAACGGCTTCTGTCCATCGGTTGTCATTCATACGCATTGTGTGTCCGACCCACCTTATGTTCGACTGTTTTGCGTACAGAGTGATGTCTTTGATTTTTGATCGTTGACGCAGATCGGAGCTTCGGAACCCATCCCTTACTTGTGTGACATGGTACACTCTAAGCATTGTCCTTTCGACTGCGCGTCCGATAACGCTGAGTGATCTTTCATCCTGATAACACAGCGACCAGGTTTTTGACGCATACGTTAGGGCAGGAACTACCGTTGAGTCGAAAAGGTGGGCACGGAATCGGGAGTTCTTTGTTATCTTCACTACGTCCTCGATACTTTTCAATGCTCTCCAAGCCGCTCGTTTCTTTCTGGTCAGCTTTGGAACTAGGTCGTTCATCACATTGATTTCCCCACCTAAATAGATATAATTGGAGCATTCAGAGATATACGTTCCGTTGAGCGTGAATGGGGTATGCGAAACCAATTCGTTCTTCATGAGCATCGTTTTTGTGTGATTTATTCGAAAACCAATCATTCCACAGGCTTTACCAAAGCAATAGGTTCCGCTTGGCTAATGTTTGGTGTTACAAGAGATCTCATCAGCAAAGCGAAGATGGTGTAATAGCCAACCATCGATTTTCATTCCCATATTATCCCAATCCAATATTCGCATGACGTCCTCGAGGGTGGCGGTAAATAATTTTGGCGAGATGGTATCGCCTTGCCTAACTCCTCATTTGACGTCAATGTTAATATCGTTGTAGAATGGTTATATCTTGGTTATGAATTTTTTGCACAGCTCACGAAGAGCCTTTATCTACTGAGTAGGGACTCCTTGACAATCAAGAGCTTCCAAGACTACTTCTATCTCAAATGAATTAAAGGTTTTCTGTAAATCGATGAAAGTGAGACAGAGCAGTCTATAATCTCGCGATACTTCAGCGAGACTTGCTACTGTGTGGATGTGGTCTACCGTACTAAATTCTTTGCTGAAACTCTGTTTGCTAACATGGCTGTCCTTCGTCTAGTGTTCTGTAAATGCATTTTAGGATGATTCGAGTGAAAAGTTTGTAGACGACGAACAGTAAGCAGATTGGGCGATAGTTGCCGATGTCGTGTAGGTCACCCTTCTTGAACAATAGCACGGTCCTGCTGTCCTCCACCTTGCATTCAGGCACGTAACGTGTGAAGAGCCGAACCAGTGTGTTTACGAATAGTGGCGAAAGGTTCTTCGGCTCTTTTGGTCTTATCTTGTCCGAACCTGGTGCTGTTCGATTTTTCACCGACGAAACGGCATGTCGGACTTTGGAAGGGAGAGCCGGTAATACAACATATCCATCCTCCTTTATTTCATATCACGGAAGGTGGACGTGGCCATCGATGGAATTAAAGCAGTATTTGTGAATGATTTTCCCCATTAACCTTTCTGGAAGCTGTAACTGTTCTGTTTGGGTGTCGGAGTGCAATCATCTGGGTTTTGTAATTGATGAAGCTTCGGTGGGTGGGTTTTACAAACGCTTTTCCCAGCCCCCCAGATCAATCCCGCTGACAGGTGATTGCTGATGGCGAAAGATCAAAAGAACTAGCTGAGAGACAGGCAAAACGAAAGACCCGGATGGTGTGGTGGTGAACGCGCTATTCCCCGGTAAGGACAACAGCGCGTGTTCGTTTCCCACCGCATACACCTGCGGTCCGGAGTTTTGCAAATATCTCAGCATCATTGAACCGATTTATTATTTTATAGTTATTATTTCATTGTTCTATGAGGGATTTATGACTCAATAATTATGGCTGTGATTGCGTGATTTTGTAATTTTAAGAAATGAGGCTAGTGTAGCTTCAAATGCTGCTGTCGTTGCGCCTACGTGTGTCCACCTCAGCCGTTCCGTTTTGTGTAAGGAAATTTTCAAGCAGTGGATAAAACGCGCTACTTTCAAATATCAGAAGATGCGATAAACAGTGAGCTTCTTGAATACGACATGATCTGCGACGATGTTGACGAATCTGTTAGAGGTAACGATGCTTCAGGATTTGAAAATTCAGTAAACAAAAAAAGTACAAGAACAAGAATCAGAAATTAATGTTCACCACAGTGGGTCTACATGTGTAAGCATTGCGGTCTAAAAATATTTGTGGAGGCACCTAAACCTCGCTTTGGAATTCATTAAGACGTGCAGGATTAGCTGCACTGACATCTATGCACCTCCTTCTCAGCTGTACATATTGCTGCACAGAGGTTTTTCTGCCAAACTTTTTGCTTTCTATCGATAGCTTGTTCAACGTCGATCTTTTACCAGGCGTAAATCATAAAAAACTCCCTTCTACAACCAATAATTTACAAAACCCTTTTTGGGCGAGGCCATTTTGTCACAAGAGACTGTGGTGACTGTTGAGCAGAGTATATGCACCATAGAGGGTGCGGCTTATAAAGAGGAGCAGAAATATGTCTGCTTAAGCACTGGAATTCGATATTTGAGGAGAGCTTTTCGTAATGACAAGTTGTTAAACCATTAACAAGATCTCACAACGGTGGATCGATATTTAAAGAATGTACTTCCGTTAATACCACTCACAGCAGATTATTTTGAATGCAGTCATCAAGCCGCATTACTTTTGAATTTATATTTATTTCGTAATCTACATTTCCTATTAACGGTTTGCCTCCTCATCTGCTTGGGAAGAGTTCTTGGGGGCCGGGCTGCGATGTACAGCGGGGAGATTCACATTCTTGGCAGGTTCTCCCAAGCTGAGAAGGAGTTCGGCGTTTCCATCAGGAAGCCCTTCTGTGAGTAAGCCAATACCAGGATCCACCACCGTCCTGTTATCTAAGTCGCATGGTGGCAAATCCCCCTCTGATCTACAAAGGCGACAACTTCCTTTAGTGATGCCGACCTTGGTCAGACTATGGCTAAGCCGACCTCTGGACTTCAGGAAACCATAATGGCTAAGCCAGCAAAACTCCGGAAAATGGAGATTGTGCTGGGTCCTGAACAACCCGATGAGGATGGGCCATTCAAGTATCAAGTAAGTAATCTGCCACATAAATTTCTATATTTACCAATAATCCACTGTTTCCTCATTTGCAATCATTTTATCGGTTCTCGGTTATTATAGGAGATAATAGGCTGGAAAATATACCATTAGATTCAACATGATTTGGAAAACGCGTCCATCCATTGGCAGAAATTTGTTTGGAAGGTTAACTACAATAATATCTGGCATGTGGTTGCAGTATTATACCACTGTTTGCACAAAATAATTCATCGCTTGATGGAGAAAAATCCAAGATTGCCCTGTTCAAACCCTGAGCAAGTTTTGCTCCTTTTGGTGGATAATCGGCGACTGTCACTTACGCTTTAATTTGCTGTAAGGTTTTACTCAAAACCGTCTTTAGTTACCTTGGATCTCAACATGTGTGCGAGTAATCTACCACTGCAAGTTCAAGTCTTGGCCATCTTACAAATGTTCTTTTTCTATTGTAACATGTTGTTTACACTTTTAAAAAAGCGCTAAATTTTAACTGCAGTCAATATGCAATTGAAAAATGAATGCGTAAAGGAGTATTCTAACAGCCAGCGTCTTTGAAAAAATCTATGACTCCAGATGCTTTCTTTTTGGTAACCTGCTGGTATTTCCGTTCACATGTGGAGAGACATTTTCTCTTCTTATGATGGGGTTATTACTTATTTTTTTCATTCTCATTCTTAGACAATGTCCGTTCTAGCCGGTGATAACACACTTCACCGTTCTAGCCGGTGATAACACACTAAAGCTCCACTCAAAACTTGATGCTGCCACCATGCCACCTTCTACCTGCACATTCTCCTCATTGTCTGCTAAGTCTGTCCAAACAATGGTATGTTGCTTCAGTTTACCATTTGGTCATGTCGTGTTTCCTACGAAAGCACCTACTTTAGCCATACAGTCTGCTACTAATTTACCACTTCCTCTGTTGCATTTATAACGAGGACGTACTGTGGATCTACCTCATGTAAGTGATTTGGCTCAGGTTACTCGAAAGGCTGTGTGACACCATTCGGGTAGGATATAGGTGTTCAACGCGGAACAGAATCGATACCTTAACAGCACAGAGGTGTGCATGGATTCAAAGTGATGTTTTTTCTCCTAATTTCTTCTTGTTGAATTATTCTATCATTAGAACATTGTCTCCTCCATTCATACTCGTCTGAGTATACCTCAAGTATACGGTTCAGTAATGTATACCGAATCGAGAAAAGTCTTGCGATCGAGTGACTGGTGATTACATAAAAGGCTGTATCGGTCTAATTCTAACAGAAGAGTGAATCGTTTATCCGTAGGCACCCTCTGATTATTATATATCTAGCCGCTACGCTAAAGTGCGTGTACCGTTGGAAGCGCCACTGCGACACACACGGGGAGTCCATCCCCACGCCCATGGTTCACCAAGTCTTCCATCTATCCGGGGTCGGCAAATTGGTACCTCACTTATCCACGTGGATAGCAGCACTGGCTCGATACATCGGTACGCCACCGTGAGTCATTGTAAAGGCCAGATATGCATTCATTCCCCTCCAACGATACTTAATGAGGTCGAATGCATAGCGCATCGCTCAAGGATTGATCAACGCCGAGAGCTTTATGCTTTTATCCTTTATACGGTAAAGCAGTGAGTTATCGATGGATGCTCGGTCGCCAAAAACCTTGGAAATGAGAAATTTAAAATGAGAAGTGTTCTATTGCACTCGTAAAGCAGAGGACACAGAACAGCTCGGCTCACGCGACAGAAATAGAATGAATCTTTAGTCCCCGGTCCATTCATTAAATGGTTAGTGGATGTTATACAGGTGATACTGAGATATGTTATTCAGATGTGCTCTGCTGGTTATTAGTTTTGGCAAGTGTAAATCAACATATGCTTGTGATACTAGATCAGCAATGTTGTTCATAATATACCTAACTTCTATCTTTAACATTTACCTTTTTATAACTTATAACTTACCAACTTTATAACAGCTTTTATATACTGTCCATTTTTTTCTTACGACAAGGTATTATGTGAAATACAACCACAATGATGCTGAGCTATTAGTAAAACTTGGACCTCAGGTCCGATCGAACCACGATTACCCTTTCCGGTAACTCACGTGTCACCACGGCACGATTGAGACCCTCGTTCTGCCTATTATTCCTGTTGACTGGTGAGCACTGATGGCACCGTAAGGGTAAAGAGACTGGCTGAGAGAAAGGCAGAACGTGGGTTTCAGAGTTGCCGTGCGTCACACCTCAGTCCCGGAAAGGGCGTTGCTGTTTTATCTGGCTTGGGGTACCTGAGTTTCGCCGATATCTCAGGATTGTTAAGGCTGCTTCTCTTAATCTGATGAATTTTTACAGATGAAAGGTTGAAGGGAAAAGGTTTGGAATTGTTCTCGAGTACGAGCTCAAGGAAGGCAACTGGTCTATAAATCCTCGGCTACTGTACACTAAACGAAGGCCGAGTTAAAGAATGGACAAGCAGTGATTTTTGTACGAGTGAGGAATCACAACATCCGAGCAGGAAGTGGGTTTTGTTTGATGCCTTGTGCTAAGCATATACAGAATTGTTTTTTCTTCAGTCTTTAAATGACGGATTAGGTTCTCACACATCTAGTTCCATTTGTGCCTCTGTGCTATAGTGAAAGTGGTGATGCCAATGGTAGTATGAATCATAACGATTAATTGCATTTCAGGTGCCGTCAATCTCCTTCAACTGAGCATTACTGGGAATCTTGAAGCTTAAAAAAACCATATGGTAGCCTTGAATGTCCATGTGAAGCATTCAACGAAAATCAATGTACTCATAAACGGCGTTCCTTGAGTCACGTCCCACTAGAAAATTATACACGTATTCGTTCTGAGGGAGTGTGCCGAGCAGAGGAGAAGTATACTTATCAGGAACCTGTGCAAAAGAAATGTTGGCGAGCATTTTCGCCTCAATGTAGAACGTGTCCTCAACAAGCGACTGTAATTCCTACATCGGATGCAACCATTCGTGCTGCTGCTCAACTGCAACCTGCAAATGAGGGGCAACTAGCTCCACAATGCGTTGCTGTTCCCACCATAGGTGATGCTGTTAGATCTACACCAACATCTTCTGCTATTTCAGCAAGACGACCATGGAATGCTACTGCAGTGACATGTTCGCCCTGCCATCGTGATGATGCAACAACTATCTCACAAACAAGGGCAACACTAGCGGTGACAAACGCCACAAACGCTGCGCCCTACGCACCATTTAATTTCAGCGAGATTCTTGCACTACTTGAAGATGAAAGCCCTGCTACTACACCAATACACAGTGGATTAGATGACAACATATTAGGTCGGCAAAGCCGAAGAAGTAACGTTGTTACATGGCGACTGATAGCAATGGATAGAAAGCCAGCGTACTCAGACATTGATTTTTCGTTGGTACTCACTAGTATTGATCCTCGTCTGAATCGCCTCGGTCTTGTTATCAAGAAATAAGAATGTGTGAGGTTTAGACCACTAAAATGGAATGAGGTGCTTCGTGTTTCATCTTGGTTGGCACGAATTACTTGACTTAACTTTTTTCTTTCTATACTTCTCATATCAAAAATACCAAACACAGTAAAAAAAAATGGGCCTCATTTTCCTGACCCCGAAAGGGCACCCAATTTCGCAGCGTTGGGTAGGGCGAGTACGGAGAGGCTGCTAAAATCCCAGGGCCAATGGAAGCTGCCTGGATTTCAAAGAACTATGGTGACGATCTGTACATACAATGCACGTACACTTGCATCCTAGTCCTCGATAGAAGACTTGCTCATGCAGGCAAGTAGGATACGGTACGACGTCATCGGCCCGGCCGAGACGAGAAGGCGCCAGCTTTTCAACGCCGTATATGACACCGGAGAGGAACTCTTCCTCGGAACATGCGACAGTAGAAAAGTCGGCGACGTGGGCCTTCTCGTCAACACGGGTTTGTCTATGAACATCGACTCATTTGAACAACTAAAAACCCGAATCGGACGTTTACGATTAAAAAGACGTGGATCAATTCTGGCTTTGACAATTTTCGTCGTTTAAGCGCCGACATGAAGCTATGACGAACCAAAAATCGAAGCGTCCTATATGGACTTGGAGAAGTTCTACAGAGAAGACCCCACATTCTTCAAGATTATCATTACAGATTATAACGCCAAGATTGGACAAAGCAGAACTCCCGAAGAACGTCACATTGAGACCCACGGATTAGAATGGAACGAAGAACGAAGGTGAACGGCTATCTGAGTTTATCATGGCGACCACGACAATCCATGGAAACTCGCGGACCACATCATAGTAAATAGAAGGCTTTGCCTAACCGATGTCGCTGTTGTCACAAAATTCTACACGGAATCAGACCATCATCTCCTTCGCCCAAGTTTCTATTTCTTGCGGAAAGGAGAAAAAGGCGCTAAATTCGAAAACCGAAGTCCCAGAACAACCGTAAACTGGGGCTTATTCAATTCATCAGTCGGCTGATGGGAAGATGCCGTTGTCGGTAACATCGACTAAGAATACGATCGGCTCATTCAACTTCTTTACGATAGCGCTATGAAAGCTGAGAGTTCGAAAGTTATCAAGAGGCGTTTGTCACCAAAAACACTCGAGCTGATAGGTCAGTGTGGAATCGCACGAGGTGCAAGCAACCGCGAAATGACGTCCGAACTTGCAAAACAATGCAGACAGGCGATAAAAGAGGATTTTAAAGAGAGAAGGGCAGCAGTAATGGTCGAAGTTGCAGAGGCTGGGAAAAGCATTCGCAAGCTCACCGAAGCTTCGCCAATTACAAGAGCAAGATCATTGCACACCGACGTCCAGAAGGAAGAGTTACAGCGTCCAGAAATGCAGTGGAGAAAATTATTCACGAATACTACTCAGATCTCTTCGACAACCACGTCCACCTTCCGTCATATTAAAAAAAAGGCGGATGGATATGTTGTGTCGCCGGTTCTCCCTTCCAAAATCCGACATGCGATTTCGTAGGTGAAAAATCGAACAGCACCAGGTCCGGATAAGATAAAACCAAAACAGCCGAAGAACCTTTCGCCAGTCTTCGTAAACATGCTGGCTCGGCTCTTCACACGTTACGTGTCTGAATGCAAGGTCCCTACTCAGTGGAGGACCAGCAGGACCGTGTTATTATTAAAGAAGGGCGACCTGCACGATATCGGTAACTATCGCCCAATCTACTTACTGTATGTCGTCTACTAACTTTTCACTCGAATCATCCTAAAATGCTTTTACAGAACACTAGACGAAAGACAGCCAGGTCAGCAAACAGGGTTTCAGCAAAGCATTTAGTAAGGAAGACCACATCCACACAGTAACAAGGTTCATTGAAGTATCGCGAGAGTACAAGAGTCCGCTCTGTCTCGCTTTCATCGATTTACAGGTCTTTGATTCAGTTGATATAGAAGCAGTCTTGGAAGCTCTTGATAGTCAAGGAGTCCCTATTCAGTACATAAAAATTCTTCGTGAGCTTTCCAAAAATTTCACAGCCAAGATATCACCGTTCTACAACGATATTAACATTGACGTCAAAAGAGGAGTTAGGCAAGGCCATACCATCTCGCCAAGATTATTTATGGCCACACTCCAGGTCATCATGCGAACGTAGGAGTGGGATAATATGGGAGCGAAAATTGATGGTTGGCTGTTACACCATCTTCGCTTTGCTGATGACATCGTCTTTGTAACAGCAAACATTAGCCAAGCGGAACGTATGCTTGATGACTTTGGTAAAGCTTGAGGAAAGATTGGCCTTCGACTAAATCTCACAAAAGCGATGTTCATGAAGAACGGACTGGTTTCGCATGCCTCACTCACGTTCAACGGAACGAATATCTTCGAATGCTCCAGCTATATCTATTTAGGTCGGGAAATCAATATGATGAACGACTTAGCTCCAGAGCTGAGCAGAAGGAAATGAGCGGCTTGGAGAGCTTTCAAGAGCATCGAAGATGTAGTGGTGAGAACAGGGAACACACGGCTCCGTCTTCACCTTTTCGCCTCAACAGTACTTTCTGCCGTAACGTATGCATCAGAACCTTGGTCGCTGCGTAAGCAGGATGAAAGTCACTCAGCGTCATCGAACGCGCCGTCGAAAGGACGATGCTAGGAGTATCCCGTTTCACAGAAGCAAGGGATGGGATCCGAAGCTCCGACCTGCGTCAACGATCAAAAATGAAAGATGCCGTTTTGTATGCCAAACAGTCGAAGATAAGGTGAGTCGGACACGCAATGCGTATGAATGCCAACCGATGGACAAGAACCGTTAGTGACCGGATTTTTCGGAATGTTAAACGCTCTGCAGGAGGACCACCGACTCGATTGTGAGAGTTCTTCACGAAGA